AAGAAGAAGAAGAAGAAGAAGAAGAAGAAGAAGAAGAAGAAGAAGAAGAAGAAAGACAACAACAAAAATAATAATGATAAATGACTAGCCTTTTTCTTTGGAATAGTCTATGATAGTAGTACATCGATACAAAAATGTAAATATGGACGAGGTTAATCCCTAATTGAACCATTCGAAAACAACAACTGACACCCTTTAAACAAAAGTGCACATAGAGGGGAAAACGGGAAAGTGATTTAAAAAAACCACAACAAAAAACAAAAATACCACAACAAAAACCCAAACTAAAGCAAAAACTAGGAATCAAAACACGTGACAAAATCAATACTCACTGCTCTCAGTCCGCGCAAGCATAGACATGACTATAATGAAATCCTTCTTCTTCCCACAATCACAGATGTCATCCTCATTCGAAAAGCAAGGTTTATTTAGTACGGCAAGTGGTTTTAAAAATTAACCCCAAAAATTAAAACATTATAAGAAGACGTTTTTACGCCCTCATCGACTCAATTTCGATCATCAAGAAGACTAGCACACCACCCTGTCCGTCAGGGCTAAGCTATACTGAGAGGGATACAACATCCCAGCAGACAGACCGAGATACTCAAATAAATAAAACTTCAACCCTACTCTGGAATCGAACGCGGGTCAGTGGGTTGTTGGCGGGTGCTCTGGTGTGGTTCGCTTCTTCTTTCCTATGAAACATATATCGCTCTTATTTCCCCTTCTTCTTTTTCATGTTTGTTAATTACTCTCTTGTAACACCTCTAATCTTCTGCCGCTCATATTATGACCTAATGCAGTTGCGAGCGCCGTAAAACCTCTACTGAAACTAAAACTAAGAACGAAGGTCTCCTGCGAGTGACAGCAGCGGGGAGCACCATTAACTTCCTATCACAACTACACCGTAGGCGCCGTAGGAAGGCAAGTAGGAAAGTCCAACAAGTCGACAGACACGTAGGGAGATAATAAATGAGCAATGAGGTGAGTGGCTGCTCTCTGACTCTCTGGCCCTCGCCTATGGCAGGAGCTGCCTGTCTATGGCGCCCGTCGCGTGTCTGTTCCGGCGACCTTGCTCGTGACAATTGACAGTCGATTGATAATGCAGTAGCAGTAGCAGTAGTACTGATAAGCATAATAATAATAATAATAATAGTGATGGTAATAATAGCACGGGAAAGCTTTCCTTCTTCCACCTACTCGCTCATCAGCTGCTCT